TAACAGAATGACCTAATTGAAATGGTATTGATAATTTTAAGACACAATTAAAATATTTTAAAATCCGGAGATGAATTTAAAATATAAGACATAGTTTCAGGACTTCATGGTTTATAGAAAACGATATAAGAACAAAAAATATATGGTTATCTCATCTGTTAACTGTCTTCATTCATGATGGAAAAAAGTAACCTCCTTAAACGCATTAGCCTAAAAAAATCGAAGCTTTTTGTCATCAACACACTACCTCAGTGAGAAAATCTCCTAAAAATATCATAAACACAATAATATTTTTAATATATTTTTACTATAAATTATGTAAAATTTACTATTAATTAAAAATAAAATAATACATGATATATTTAAATACTCAAGTAATATATTATCAACAGATATAAATTTTATATAAATAATTTTTATTTAAATATTTAGAAATTTTTTATTCTTTAAACCAAATACAATAATCGTATATTCCTGCCAAACCAACCAAACACAATAATATATTTTGATGAGCGTGATGAGAATGTTAATCTTTATTCACACGTAATTGTGCCTCCGAACTTAATTCTGATTTTCTCAAACCTTTAAATATTTTGATGATCCTGTCACACCTAAATTGATTAGTGGCAAGTTCTATACATTTTGAAAGTACGAAAACTAAATTTTATTCATTAGGTAAAAAATGGTGCATGCATAATATATTCTTCGGTTCAAACTATAAAATAAAATTAATTTTGATGTTAAAATTTCAATTTATCAAATAGTTTATTAGATTTTTTTTTTCTAATCATCGAATATCAAAAAAAAAAATTAACCGATTTTTAAGATGTTATATTGGGAACTTGCTCACCCTCTAATATTGTAATAATCTTTACTAGAGTCATCGTTTTCCATCAAGAAAAACTTCCAATCTAGAAGCCCTGTGTCATGAATGATTCTTATTGCTTCCGAAGAAGATAGTTGTTGGCATCCAGACGAACGCTTACCCGTTTGTTGGAGAAATTTTGCGATGTCTGATCGTCAATTATTATGGTATGAGCTAGATCTTCTTCAGCAAGGTTGTTGGAGTAAGCCATAGAACGTACAAGAGACGAATCGGTAATTCAGTGTTTGTCGTAGATAGATTACATAGATGAGTTCAGGGATCAATTTTCGATCAGATTAAAGACTTTGATATCATGTTAAAGAGGCAACGTCAGCTTGTAATTGACCGATACTTGGTAACCACAATGAATAGGCAGAAGAATGACTATTTTAAATTTCAACTAAAGAAAAATGTAATGACAAACTCGATAACCACTTCATTGATATCATAGAGATATTTTTAAAACTCAATACAACATCTACCACTACAGCTATAGCATCGTTTTTTAGCCATAAACGGCTTTTTTTAGTCTTATATCATAGAGTTATTAAAAATGCCATTAAAGGTATATGAATATTGCGACGTTATCCCATAAACGCTGTTAATGTTTTCATTGTGACGTTTTATCCGTAAATACTGCATTTTATCCGTAAAAAATTAAAGGTGTTTTTTCAAAAACGCCGCTACACGGTTAAAAACTCATTTTGGTGTAGTGTACTTATGGTGGACCTTATTTAAATGAAATTCTTATGAGCCCCTAAATTGCAACTCTGCAGAATATGGATACAGAAACTCAACAGAAACACGATGAAGTAAAACAAGAAACAGAGAGGATGCTTATGGTGGCTACAGATGAGCCATCTCACAAATTCATACGATTAAACGCATTGGTATAAGTTAGCATTTGGAAAGAGAGACTTATGTTTCGAGGATACTTATGTTTCGAGGATACTTATGTTTCGTTTACTTAGAGAGAATGGCTGGAGTGTTACGCCCTAAGCATCTGCCCAAAACAAGATTAAAGCATCAAAACTATCCTAAGATAAGATGGTTCCTATAAACACTTAACACAGCCGAGTATTCAGCCAACCCATTGGCTTAACAAACGATCAATCTCCACAAAACATCCCAAAGCTTCCAATGACGCAAATCTTTTCTTACAAAATATAGCAAAACCGTTGTAGAAGCTCAAATGAAACCGCACAACTATCCCGCTCTTAGAGATATGAAAAGGACTTGCTACTTTGATCTTCAAATGTCAATTTTATCTGATCCTTCACCACCAATATATCTTTTCAGTTGAATCTACTACTATATGACAAACAATACACCATCTTTAGCTCCATATCTCCAGCACTTTCCTTTCCACGTGTTAATCCCAGCAGTGTTTGTGGGTTGGAACCGGGATCCTGGGAATGGGAAGGTGGTCCGGGGAGCTCCACGGTGGCTCAGTGGGAACTGGTTTATGGAGAGAAGTATAAGGTCGGGCTTGTCCAGGCCTTGTTTTTTGGCGGTTGCATGATTGGTGAGTCGTCTACACACCTCTTGTTTCTCTTCTGTCCTTAGTCTGGTGTTCTTAAAAAGGCAATCACCGATGTCCCGGAAACAGCACATGGTTGACGTTAATACATTTGTGGACCTGAAATTCCCAGAAACAAAAGGAAAAACCAACAAAGAAGGACGTGTCATACGAATCAGGCCAGTAAATATAATAATTTGATGAAGTAACTGCATATTTTAAGAACTTAAATGTATTTAGAATTCCAAGGCATTTTGACGTTAATGAATTCTGTACCTATTAATGATTGTGGTCCTTAAACTATTATCATGCAGAGCGCGCGTCATCACGTCCTTTATACGTTTAAAGTCATAATAATTCTATTTTGGATAAGTTCCTCACCGCAGAAAGAACTGATCGCGTCATCAGTGGCTAAAATTCTATTTTTGTTCGAATATTTTCAGGTGCTGGTGTATTTGGTCAACTATCAGATTCCAAACTCGGAAGAAAAGGTTCCTTAACCGCAGTTTGCATCTTAAATGCTATATTTGGTTGCCTTACATCATTAGGCGCCCCGGACTACGTTAGGTACCTCATGCTCCGGTTCGCAACCGGTTTCAGCACTGGAGGTGTCGGCCTATGTGCCTTCGTCCTTGCCACCGAACCTGTTGGTCCATCGAAACGTGGTGTCGCTGGAATGTCGACGTTCTATTTCTTTTCGGGAGGAATGGCATTACTCTCTGGCATAGCATACGTTTTCCGAACATGGCGTGCGCTTTATGTTGCGTCCTCTGTTCCGTCTATCCTTTTCCTTGTCCTGGTGATTCCTTTCATCTTTGAGTCCCCTCGGTGGTATCTCGTTCGTGGAAAACGGAAGCAATGAAAATTATGCGGACCATTGCCAAGTGCAACGGACATCACCTTCCTGGTAGAGTCACCCTTGCACTGCATGATGAAGCTGACGATGGTTCAAATGATAATCAAATTTGGAAAGCATCAACAACAGAAAAAGAATCAATCAGTGGTTCTGTCATCGATGTAATCCGATCACCGATCACTCGAATTCGACTATTCCTAGCAGTGAGAATCAACTTCACCTGCTCTGTTGTGTACTATGGCCTTAGCTTAAACTTCGTTAACCTCGAGACTAATCTTTAGCTCACCGTCGTGGTCAATGCGGTGGTCGAAATGCCAGCATTCGCCATAACAGCAGTTCTATTGGACAGATTCGGAAGGAAGCCATTGGCATTCGGGACACAATGGTTTAGTGCGATCTTTTGCTTCATGGGGATGATGGGAAATGTAGGAACATGGAAAGTAACAAGAGGGTGTTGTGGGATTCTGGGGGTATTTGGCATGTCCGGAACTTACAATTTGTTGTTTATCCACACGACAGAGCTCTTCCCTACGGTGGTGAGAAACGCGGCAGTCAGATGTGCAACAGAAATGGGAGCTATATTGGCACCGTTTGTGGTGGTTCTAGGCGGCGGTTTTCCGTTCATGGTGTTTGGGGTATGTGGATTGATTGGAGGAATGCCTGCACATTGTTTGTTGAATATTCAACCAAGAAGAGATCTCAAACAAAAGAAAGGTTTAGAAGCAGAAAGAGTAAAATGAGAGCAGAGGAATAAGGAAAAGAATACTGTTGAATATCATTGCCAAAACTCTGGGTAGTTTTGGATATCAAGTATTCTTTATATGGAATTGTAGTCCAATATTTTATAGAATAAACTGTCAGCTGCCAAATTCTGTTACTGAACCAAAACCACTTGTTTTTCTTCAATATTGTTTACCTGAGACACTAAACAAGCCATTGTATGACTGCAGAGGGGGAGATTGCTGGAAACTGACCTTTTGTCAAATTTCCTCACATGGCATATAAAGGTGGCAAAATTGCATCTTCGCTCCAACAGAAATGGAAACTTACCAAGATTTTTATTTAAGAGAACAAGTCACTGGTACAAGCATAACCAGAATTTGAGGTTTTTTCCCCTTAAATTTTCGTCACTTAATTCTATATTTGTTCAAAATCATTCTTAAGATTAAGTCTTATTTTTTTTTAGTAGCAGTTTTTAAATTTGATTATCAACTAAACCAAATTAATGATATTATTACTTTAATAATAATTTAATAAGTTCTTATTTAAAAAAATAATTTAACAAAATAATCAATTTAACTCTTTTATTATGTTATCATTCATCGTGAATCTTCGTATCTACATTATAGATCATTATATTAATTTTATAAATTGTTACGTTAATATCATAACAATTAACATTTGATTTCATTGATTAAAAATTATATAATTTTTTCTCATTTTAAGAGTCGCATTATATATAAAAATTTAGAAAGTCACATTAATATTTTTTGAAAAAGTTTGAAAACTTTAATTACTATTAAATCAAAAGAAAAAGAATGCACTCAATTCAAAAGACGATAGGTATAAGTCAAAGAAGGAGATCAATAATGAAGTCACGGTTCATTTCTTTATTTCAATTCGATCCAAAGTTCAAACATTTTTAAAAAGTATTTTTTAATAGTTTGGTGCGATTACAAGATAATATAAATTCATAAATTTTTTGGTCATTGATACATCCTACAAATATAACTTCTCGAGTTTAGAACTTTGAGGAACAATATCCTCTTTAACACTAAGACCACTTAATTGGATTCTAAACATTTGCATGTTTTACAACACTTCATGCATCCATACCATTATATCTGTACACTATCAAAGACTTCAGAACATGAAAGGTGTAGGGGAAAACGTGGGTAGGAACACCGCCACCGGATTTCGCCTGCAAATTTGATCAAATACAACCGTTTAATTTAACTTCAACAGTTGATTAAATATTAACTCGGTTAGAATTTCTATTATCACGATAGTAAAATAATAAGTTTTAGCTTTCAATAATACAATTAGAATTTAAGTATATATATTTCAATTGTGGGTAATCTATCATTGGATTGAGTTGGGGATAAAATATAATTCTTACAATAAAAAATAAGTCTAAGTGGAAAATAAGTACTTAGATGGAGTATAATTTAAGTATTTGACATGTGAGCCTAAAAATAATATAGAGTTTTTAATATTTTAAATAATAAAATTAATTTTTCAAACCTAATTTTATCCTCACTTCACCTCGTCCTCCAATGTCATTTTCTTAACTTTCTCTATCATCATTTTATTTAACATAAATGAAAAATCAACTTCTCCCCGACGTTGACATAGCAACTAAATGAGTAAATGATTCATTAATTTTTATATGTTTTTTACTATTCTTTACCACAATTTAAAAAATAAAAAAAAATAAAAGAAAATTACCCGGTCTCGTTGCTATAGCTTCGAACATGAACGTTAGAACCTGGCCCTGAAGAGCTCTTCCTCTTCACCACTCTATCTACGGTCCTCGGCGGCGTTTCCGAGGGTGTTTTCTTTCTGTTCTCCGTCATGATGTTATCCTCCGTTATGGAACACAAGGAGGGCTTCCACTGCGGATTCACAGACCCCGTCGACCCTACCCTCACCCTTACCCTATCTGTCTTCCTCCTCGATGCTGCCGTGGTACCTGCAGGCATCAAGGACTTTGTCTCCTCCTCCTCCCTCGCCGCCACCGTCACAACCTCCTCCATCGACACTTCATGTGTCGTCGTGCCCCAACATGACACACACTCCAAGAAAGATCTCATGGGAAACGAACTAAATATAGAATTATGCGCGTGGACAGAAAAGAAAAAGTGGAAGAAAGAAAGAGAAGAAGCGGGGTAAAGGGAAAGGGTTCAAGTGAATCGGGGATCTAATTTATAGCGTCTAAAAAGGGCTACGTTTTGTGTGTTTACTAAGAGGGAAATGCCAAGAAGTGTGGGTCTGCCTTCGTTCATGGCATGAGGGGTTGTATATGCTGAGTTTGCACTCCATATTTATTACCAGAAAACTACGTTTTTGTTGTTGAGGATTTTTTTTAATAATGGGTAATCAATAACTATAAAATATTATTTGTTTAGAATATTTTCTAATTATTTATATACAAATGATGTAGATGCATCTACTTAAACTCAATAATATTTCTTTTTATCATCCTTTTACTAACGAGGTTGATTGATTGATAAAGGCTTAAGTATATAAAAGGTGTTCAACTTATGCATGTTTTTTCAGTTTAGTGCATAACATTTATTTCGTTCTAGTTTGGTGTCTAACGTTTTATTCTATTACTCAAAATGGGTAAAGACGTGACAGACCGTTAGTTTTCTCCGTTAAACGACACATGTCACAATCTAGTAATTTTGAAATTTATTTTTTTAAATTATTTAAAATATTATTATATTTATAAAAAACCCTTATTTCTTTTAAATTATAAAAAAACTCAAAATCCCTAAAATCCCCAAATCCTAACACCAACCCATTATCGTCGCCTTTTCCGTCCGCGACCACTGCTGTTGACGTCGTCCTTGAAATCATCCTAGTTATAAGTCGCCGTAGTTGTTGTCGATTGGCCGTCGAAATCGCTTGGGATTGCGATTTTCATCCTAGGGTTTGTGGGGTATAAAACGTCGGTTCGCCGTCGATCGACCGCTGATCAGTCACGATTTCAAGGGGGTTTTGGTTGCCGGGGAGAGGTGAGGTCAGGTGGAGCTTCGTCGATGGCACAGGGTGGCGGTCGGGCGTGGGTTTAGGGGTTGAAATGAAGGTTTCCAAAGTTTTGGGGTTATTTCAAAATTTATGTGTTTTCTTTTTTGAAAAATATATAATTTTATTTTTTAATTATATATATATATTTTAAAATTATTAGATTCTGACATGTGTCACTTAATGCAAGAAAATAACGGTCCGTCACGACTTGACCCATTTTGAGTAACGGAATAAAACTTTAGGCACTAAACTAAAATAAAATAAACGTTATGTTGAGTTAATCGATTGACGAATATGGCCAATAAGGGGGTGAATTGGCAATTAAAATTTTGGTGGAAGCTTTTGCAGAAAATTGAAAGAAATTTTCACAGCGATTTAGAGTGGTTCGACTTTCTCAACCAAATTCTACGTCCACTACCTTAGCTATCCACACTAAGGATTTTCCACAAATTCACTAATTTGTCTTTCTTTTGAGGACAAAGAGTAACCTTACAAACCCTCAAGAATTATAACCCAAATTCTTGAAAACACTCTCTCCCAAAGAGAACAATACAAATTTGCAAACTTACAAGGAAATCCTCACAAGGTAGATTGTTTGCACAATTCTAGAACAAAGAAAAGAACACTCAAGAATGAATACAATTGAGCACAATAAGTGTTCTTGAAAGCAAAATGAATATTGAATGAAAAAATAGGCTTGAAATGCTCAAACTTGAGGTTTGATGCTTTCTCTTTGATTCTCTCTTGATTCTAGTTGCTTGATGTTTCTTGTTATTGATCAATGGCTTCTAAGCTTGCTTAAATACACCTTGAATCACTTCTGAACGTTGAGGATCATTAATGAAGTTTTTGGAGCCGTTTAAGTGTGAAAACAATTAATATTTCTGCTTGGAGCGTGGGGGGAATCGGTTCCCTAAGTGTAAAATTCAAATATTTCGACCGTTGAACAGTGGGGGGAATCGGTACCCCCTGGGGGAATCGGTTCCCTCCGAGCATACTGGAATTCTCGGAACCAAACCATTCAGGGGGAATCGGTTCCCTCTTAGCAATCTGGAATTTTTGGCTTTGAAATGATTCGAAATATTTTGTAAAATCGTTTTGAAATTATTTTTAAGATTAAAACTTAATTTTACACTTGAGTAAGGATTTAAAATGAATTTTGAAATACTTTGAGTAATATTTTGATATTCGATTTAATATATCAAATATGCTTAGAAAAAATCTTTTTCAAAATTAAAATTCTTTTAATTTAATTTGTTATATCGAAACATCAAAATGTTTTCAACAATCTCCCCCTTTTTGATATAACAAAACATTTTAAGATTTTCTAATTTCAAAATGAATTTTGATTTTGAAAAATACTACTCCCCCTTACTTTAACACTACTCCTCTTCAAAAACTCCCTTTTTAATTTAATAACATTTCTCCCCCCCTTTTTGTTAAATCAAAAAGATTCATAAAAGAATTTAAACAAGGTTTTGAAATCATTTGGACAATTGATTATATATATAGTTTAAGCTGCTAAGATCACAATCAAGAGAAACATTAGCCATTAGTTTCATAATCAATATTTATAAATAATGTGACATGGCAAAATTGGTCATATTGCTAAAATGATGTAAATGATGCAATAAATTTAACTAAACCAAATATTCAAACATTCAAACAAATCCAAAGTTTAACAATCCACAAAAATCAAACATTCCAAAAACATTCAAAATGTTTAAACAATAAGCTTTAAGTTCAAAGTACTAAAGCAAAACAAAGAATCAAGCATCCGTAGAAGGATCGGGAGGAGGAAAACGAGCTCGCATAGCGGCCATCTCATGAGTGAGTTCATTAATACGAGCGTTTGTTGCTTCATTGTTTGCACGCATCTCTTGAAGAATTTCCAATTGTTGAGCTCCCATTATGGATAAATGGGACTCTATAAAAGTAAAGCGCGAATCTATGGTAGCATATCGGAAATCGAATGTCTCCATAAAAGATTGAAAATATGGAGGCATTTGATTCGTTTGTTGTGCTTGCTTCTCGGGCTGCTCCTCGGGCTGCTCAGGCTCATCTTCGGCTTCATCGATGTCTCGCATTAATTGTTCAAGCTCGGGATCGACGTCAGCTTCTGGTGGAGCTCGTGAAGAACTAACTCCCGGAGTATTTTCAGAAGATCGAACCCATTCACCGGTTTCCTTATCCTTTATCCATCATGCTCTCGTTAAGGAAAGAAGATTAATTTGTTTCTTTAGAGGAAAGGCAGCATCTAGACCTACTCTAAGCCCATCTTTAGAAAAAAGATTACTCAAAATGAAACCGTAAACTAGAGTTGAACAGAGTTTCTTGTTAGGAACAAGATTTACGGTTTCAACGATTTCAGCAAAAATAATCTGAGGTAGGTTTATTTTAATACTGTTTTGGAAACCATGTAACCACCAAAGATCTAAAGCACGAAGAGTAGAGTAACGACCTCCGGATGGTCGAAACCACCAAGAAATCATTAGATGAAGAAAATGATCATGAAGGTCTAAGACACTCGCACTATCTCTTCTTTTATAACGAGAACCTAAAACCAGTTTTTCATTTGATATACCATCATTATCTAATCCTAATGCTTTGGCTATGTAAGCCGAGTTAATATGTAAGAATTGTCCTAGGAGGTAGGAACGAACTTCTATGGTCTTAGTTTGAGCTCGGTTTTTGACACAAACGGCATTAGAATAAAAGATGCGAACAAGTCGATGGTAAACTATAGGTTCAAGGTCACAAAGTTTATCAAATTTCCACTCTTGTAAAAGAGGAAAATATCTAAATCGATATCTAACATAGCTTGACGAGAAGGGATACGTTCTTCTCTAATTTTGTAAGTCAAAATATTGATTTCTTGGATAGTCATATTAGGATCAATAGGATTAGGATTAGGAATTGGAATTTCAGGAATAGGAGGAGGATTTGGAGGTGGATTTGGTTGACGGTGTGAGCGACTAGATGAAGACCTAGCACGTTTAGGATTGGACATGGTTTAGGAAGTCGGAATAGAATGGATAACCTGCAATTTAGAAAACATATGTATGCAATTCAATCAATCCCAAAACTCAATTGAGTCCTCAATATTTCAAGGTTCTCTAAACCAATCCTAATGGGCAAAGTTTTTGAAAACTAGATAAAAATAAGGTTTTGAAAAACAATATATGTATAGTTTTCATAACAACAACATAATTCAATTAAAACACAATAATTTAAAAAACAATTTTTTTATATTTTGAAAATTTCAAAATTTTTGAAAAATTCTTGTGTTTTTGATGAAATTAGTTGTAATATCTAGTTTCTAATCATTAAACAATCAAGGCCCGATCACTATTTCTATGTAGAACTAATTAAAACTAGTCCTATGTTCAAAATCAATGAAATAGAGAATTTAGAAAAATTTACCTTGAAAGATGAGATTGAGTGGATTTTGATGTTGTTTCACGATTTTAATGATGCTAGCAGGTTTAGAAGATGATATTTGAAGAGAATTCCGATTAAGAACGTTGTTTTGAGGCAAAGTGGAGATTTGAGAGAATGGAGGGGAAAACGACGTGAAGAGAAGAGATGATTTGAGGTAAAAACAAGGGTTCTGCCCGATAAAACCATAACCCCAGGGGGGTATCGATTCCCCTAGGGGGAATCAGTTCCCCTTCAAAGGGGGAATCAGTTCCCTCATGGGGGTATCGATTCCCTCTGCACCAAAATGCTAAAATCCGATTTTAAACACAAAATGCTAAATTAATTTTCTCTAGCGGTTTTGGCAACTCATATATTGAAAATTAAACACGTTCAAATAATCAAATTAATCTTTAAACTATATTTGAACATAAAGTTAATTTTCATCAAGAATCATAAACTCCCCCTAACTAATAGCAATGAATGCAATCAAAAATTACTATTCTAAACATTTTTCATTTAGTCTTAAAAGTGCTAAAATTATTTTAAACACTAAGTGAAGATAGGTTGGTCAAACCTAATTCTCTCCTAAGTGTCCAAAATCTTTCCTTGTCTAAAGGTTTTGTAAAGATATCCGCTAATTGGTGCAGAGTATCAACAAATTCTAGAACTACATCTTCCTTAGTGACATGGTCTCTAATGAAGTGATGTCTTATTTCAATGTGCTTAGTTCTAGAGTGT